AGGTACTAGGTAGTACCTTCATATAAACACGTGCCATATAAAATGTGTATCACGTTTTCAACTCTCCAAAGCGTGAGAAAAAAATACCTACTTTTAATCAGTAGCATCTATCTCTTTCTTTATTATATAAGTTTATGTTTTTTTTATAATAACTTGCAAGCCACTAGAAATAATCTTTATTTCTGTGATATTGTTTTAAATATTGTAAAACGTTATTCTTTTAAGTTTTGAGTCCAGGGCTTGCCAACGTTATAATGACGTATTAACGTTATGATTATAAATTTATAACGTAATATTTGTCAAATAACGTTTGAAATTTGTAAACGTTATTATAACTGAAAGCGATAATCCAAAATAATTAAATACTGCAAAACAAAGCATAACGAATAACGAAATATATAATATATCATTAAACAAAAAATATCGCAAAACGTAATTTATAGAATATCATTAAACGAAAATTAACGCAAAACGCAATTTATAGAATATCATTAAACGAAAAATAATGCAAAACAAAATTATTTGAAAATTTAAAATCCATTTATTTAAAAGTAAGGTATATTGGTTTCGTAAAACAATAAATTTTATTTCATGTTATTTATTTTTAAAAAATCTAAGAATTGATTATATTATATTCCGTATCCTGGACATTACCTACCCGCATTTTTTGGGGGGTATTGATAACTTTTAAATTGAATTGCCAATAGCAAATATCTAGTTTAATAATAATATTTATTATTATTAATAATGATTAATGATGCCCCGATAATTGCGCTGTAGAACTGTAGAAGTATTATATGTAGAGTATGGACTTATTTTGTATTCACTATGTACTTTGTCTACTCTCTAGTCTGTACTACTGTCCTCTTGTGAGTGTATACTGTATATACTGTTGTTAAAACATCCGTTTTATCAATATTAGCTACATATTAAAACAAATAACGCAATCATAGATAGAACAATTTCTAACCTAGTACTGAAAATACAAAGGTGGGCATTAACTTGTTAAAAAATTAAAGTTAAGTATTAAGTTAAAAAGTTTTTTTTTTTAGCTTATTAACTTATTCAGTTAAAATTTCCAACGTAATTATATAAAATACCTAGGTGTTAGGTAATAGGTTTATAGAATATACCATTTATACTAATATTAAATAATAATTAAATAATAAATTATAATTTTCTTTTAACGATGTTGAAAAAAATTAAGAAGTAAATTACTTACTGAATTGTTGGAAAATGTTGGGTATAATAACGTATTTATTCTAAATAACGATAAACGGAAAACTTGAGTAACGTTTTAATTCTGGATAACGAGAAACGCAAAAATTATAAATAATGTAAAACGGAATTTTTTTTCAAATGCAAGCCCTGATTCTGACAAATAGGTACTTACAATTATTTTCGTGATTTTTCCATATTTTGTCAATTTTTGAACTTTAAATGCTTATAAAAAAAAACTGTGACTAAGGATTTTTAATATTTTTCATCTGCCTTTGAAACAATATAGTAGAATCCTTCTATTAAATGTTCAAGCTTTTTTAACCAACAAATAAAATTTTATTGATATTTTTAGAAAAAAATACTAAAAAAAAAAAAGGGAAAATGAAAATGTTCCTAAGGGTCTCTTTCACCACTAATTAAAACTTTGATTCAAGTTAAACCGGGGTTTAATCGGCCGAATTTGGTCTGTTAAATATCTGTTAAGTATTTGGTGAAAGCTTCCCTAAACAGTTCAAAACAAATCATAATATTTTGAAAATTTTATCGGTTATAGAAAATGTAAATATAAACAACTAGTGAAAATTTGATGTATATACATTCATTTGGTTTAGAGTTACACCAAAAACCAAAATCGATTTTGTGGAAAACCGATTTTGCGTAAAAATTACCGTTTTTTCTTAATTTTTATTTTGTTTTTCTCTAAGCTTTTGAAAACTATTGAGAATTTCAAATTTTGACTAGAATGTACCAACTAGATTCGTTTTTCCATCGAACAAGATATTGTTGAAGAAAATCGAAGCAGTATTACTCTGTTACAGTGTTACTGCTCCAAATGGTGATAACAGACATAAAAGTTAAAAATAAAAAAAAACACACAACATTATATTACCTATCAATACATTTAACGCTCCGCTCAGAATTTAAAATAGTTATGAAAAATTAAAAGGAATACAATATGCCAAATATGTAATTTTTATTCTTCCTTTATTAAGAAATTATAAAAATTATTATATACATTATGAGTTCTGCAACATAGGTATAGGTATGCGTGTTGATAAGCGATTTTTCAACTGTTTTGGCTAATAGGGGATTTTGGGCGTATACTTCTAAGCTCTAACTATTTTTTTTATTATTATTATTTGAGCATCAACTATAAGGTTATTCAATTAGTATACTTGTATAATTGTATGACGTAATTAAATGTTTTTTTTTTCAATATTTCATATTAAATGATAATTATAATTAGTATATAGCACGATGTAGAGAAGATCTTCCCAGAACCTTGGTATACTGGTACCTATATAGAATAGGTAAAAATGGTAGAATACTAGAATCGTAGAATAATATAATATGAAGACAGAAGAATAGGTATTCATAAAATTATACATTACAACATTGTTGGATTAATACATTAATAATATATAACTAGTTATATTTACCTTTCGTTATTCTTTGAAAACCTATGAAAAGTAACATTAGACAAAGGTCTATACTTATTGGAACATAGAAGAAACTTTATATCCTTCTTGAAGTAAATAATGTATACAAAAAAACGTGGATGGTCGGGGCAATTTGTTTTTAGGTTTTTTAGAATAGTACAAATAGTACAACAGTGCCGAAGACAGGAATTTTATATGGGGGGGGGGGGTTATTATAATAACAACATGTTATAGTAAATTAAGAAAAAATAACACATTATTTATATTTTTATATCTTTATTTTAGTGTCTTATAACTTATAAGTTATAATATCAGATCTATTTTTCTTTTAGATTCTGGAAGAAACGATGAATGTATTGATTTTACATTGATGTGTGTTTTTTTTTTATTTTTTTGTTTTTTTTTGTGTCTATCATCACGTTTTAGGACAGTAAAAGTGCTTGGATTTTCTTCAAAAGTAGCTTTTCTGATAGGAAAGTGAATCTAGTTGGTACTTTGGGGGGGTCAAAAGTAAAAATTTCCCAGTAGTTTTCACAAGCGGCGGGAAAAACAACATAAAAATTAAGGAAAAACGGGAATTTTTACGCAAAATCGGTTTTCCAAAAAATCGATTTTGGTTTTTAGTGTAACTCTAAAACAAATAAACGTATATACATGAAATTTTCACTAGTTGTTTATATTTGCATTTTCTATACACGATAACATTTTCAAAATATTTTGATTTATTTTGAACTGTTTAGGCACATTTTTATTTTCCATTTTTTTTTAGTTTTTTTTCTAAAAATATCAATAACATTTTATTTGTTGGTTGCGAAAGCTTGAAAATTTAATAGAAGGCTCCTAGTATATTGTTTCAAAGGCAGATGAAAAATATTAAAAATCCTTAGTCACAATTTTTTTTTATAAGCATTTAAAGTTCAAAAATTGACAAAATATGGAAAAATCACTAAAATTAGCAAATTATTTTGAGTTAAGAATTCGTAAATATTTTTCTTTTTAAATCTAAGATTTGAAAATGTAATACAAGATTCCTCATAAGATTATCTACATTTATCAAAAAAAAATGTCTATAAGAAAGTCAAATTAAATTTTTATGAGCGTTTGAAATTCAAATTTTTTACATTGGATATTCACTCGATTTCTCATGTAGCGATTTCCTTATTTTGTTGTAATACAAAAACGAATAACTGTAGATACATGAAAATTTCACTGAATGTTTATATTAGCATTTCCTATACACCATACAATTTTGAAAATATTTTGACTTTTTTTCAGCTGTTTGACTGATATTTCAAAGTCTAACATCTCAGCCAATCTCTATTTAAAAATATAATTATAGTTAAAAAAATGAACATTAAAATTGAATTTAAGGCATTCATTACTTGAGCATCTTTGAAAATTTTTTCAGTTTTTTTTAGCACGGTTTTAACTTTTAAAGTTTTAACTGTAATACTGATAATACCTAATTAATATGTTATCTTAAATTTCAGTATTATCAACATGAACATATAATAAGATTATCAATTATCACAGTAGGTAACAAAACGGTTATGGTCACGGACTAAGATATATCTAAGATATATCTTAGTCCGTGGTTATGGTAATGGTGATTTGTCATTGCGACCATTAGACGATACACAAAATACCTTACTTATAACCAATAACAACACAAACATCTAAAATATTATTAATAACTATTATTGATAAAAATTTTTTTTAAATATATAAGATATATTAGTAGTTTTAAATATTTGAAATAAATTTATAAACTTTCCAAGGGGGGGGGGGGGGGGTTGAACCCCCTAACACCCCCCCCCCCGTGTCTACGGCCCTGTAGTACAATAACCAATTGCGGACTAAATTTACAAAAGTAAACGAAAAACTACAGAATACCTACTGAATTAACGGATTTTTTACGGACCCCGCGTACTGCATAGCGTACTCCGCCTTCGTGGTAGTAAACGTTTTCCGAATACGGGAAACAAGTATCATGGATCATGGATGATGGATCTAACATCATGTAGGTTTACGGGCTCTAACGTAAACCGAATCAGCTGATCGTAGGTATGTCACTTCCATATTATCACAGAACAATATTATCTAATTATTCGAAATTATTAGTTATTTATCTATTATTTATATGAGTAGCTACTAGCTACTAAAAAAGTAAAAACCACAAAAATATTAATTTTCGTCACGAATTAGAACTGGTGACACTTTAAAACTACGTATGCGTTTTACTTAGTTGTCTAAAATTTTCTTTTCATACTTTATGTTTTAAATAATCGATACCGTGTAACCATTAATGAACGAACTCCAAACCATTAAGATTAAGTAATCATGGGTTGTGCCTGTGAAAAACAACACGTCACAATACAAGATAACAAATATTACGTTCAAGATCAAATTGGACAAGGGTAATTTCATTAAAATATATGTACTTAAATTTCTTGATCTATAGTATGGTCATTAAACAATTTCAGCTGTTCATACACATTAAAGCTTCAAATGCTAATTGACCAACGTAAATAATAATACACGACAACAAAGCTATATTTTTGCTTGACATTTTATATCAATGCAATTTTCATTATGGAATGTAAAAAGTAATCACTGTAATTAGGTACTTAAAAAAATGTTCAAAGTTCATTATGAATAGTTAATGTGATTCAGTTTTTCTGATTTTTTTTATCTGATTTAGCCTATGTAGGTATTCGATACGCTTTAATAGTTTAATATCCATGTTATCTACACTTGTTGACAAATTTATTAACCATAATCAGTGGTCGAAATGGCTCAAGATAAGTGGAAGAATGCCTTACAATTCAGATGTACTGATATCATCATAACATTCTTCTATTCTTCATCTAACAAAAAAGTAAAGGGATGTCATCCCTCCGTTTCCCACCCTCCACTTCGAGCATTGACCATAATAAAATACTATTTAGTTAGTTAATAGTTACTTTATTAACACTTATTATAATATTATAACTATTTTTATCCCATATCACTAGTTGTTACTTTAATTATTATTATTAATTATACTGTGTTCTAATACCTACCTAACTAATTAATAATTAGATACCATGTATGAACCTTATCATAATTTCACATATTTTGTCATGTTGAGTATAAAGCTCCGTTCACACGATCAAATAATTTATCAAACTCCAAATATTTTAGAACCATTTCTAAGTTTGACATACATCAAATACTTGACCAATTATTTGATTGTGTGAACGGGGTTTTAATCAATCACAGACTGTCCATTCACAGTCTATGTTTATTGTATAATCAAAGTATATATTTTAATTTATTCCTTGTACTTTATACACTGTTAAAAATGTTTTCTACATTGTGAAAAATACTAATTATACTATGTAAGTATATATGTACACATCACTGTAGGAGTGTAGGTACATACATGAAATATGGATATACTGAAGGTTGGACATTGATACTTGTCCTTAGATATCGTTAAAAATTATAACATTTACCTTTACTAGAACAGTAGAACTACTTTACAATACTACCCCTATCCATTTCTAGGTACATACTACTAATTTATTCTATTTAAATTTTTAAAAATCCAACTATACGTCTATACCAACCAACCTACCCAATAAGTTATCTAATATTCATCAGCGTGTAATGATAGGTAAAATTAACTTTTGTTACTCCTGTAACTTATTGTGAACATAAAAAATATATAATAATATTTATGTTTTTATATATTTTTCAGTGGCTTTAGTTCAGTGTTTCTTGTAAAAAATACTGATAATAAGAAATTTGTATTGAAATGCATTTTATGCCATGATCAAAAGGACCGTGAAAAAGCTTGGAATGAAGCCAAGGTCCATCAGCTTTTACAAAGCAGCGGAAATAAATATATTCTTAATTTAATTGGATGTGGAATGATTGAAAAATCATTAGAATTTTCAAAAATACCAACAGATACATTTCTTATGCTATTACCTTATTATAAAGTAAGTAGGTAACTACATAACCATAATTATCAATACAAAGACCACATACAAAATTTGATTTTATTATTTACTTTGTCTAGAATGGATCATTACATGACAATTTAGTTAAACCTCATTATCATATGGATTTGAAATATGTATTAAAACATTTTCAATCGATTTGTTTGAGTGTGAAAACATTTCATGATTTATCTTATTCACATAGAGATATAAAACCTGCTAATATATTATTTAATGATAATTATGAACCAGTGATTATTGACTTAGGTGACTACTTCATTTGAGAGGTTGTTAAACTATTAAAAAACAATTTAAATATTATTTCAAAGAATGTATTTTATAGGATCTTCTGCTCCCGCCAAAATAACAGTGACCTCGAAAAAAGAAGCACAAGAACTTCTAGATGATGTGAATGAAAGATGTTCAATGACATACAGAGCTCCAGAATTATTTAATATTGATATTAATTCTGTTATTGATGAACGAATTGATGTTTGGGTAAGAACAAAGTAGCATACATATTATTGTACCAACAAAAAAATAATTAAATTCATAGACAATTCTTCAACTTTTTCAAATATTCTAAATTATTATTTGATAATTTTAAAATCAACAATCATTGAAAAAAAACTATAAAAAATTGTATAAACCTACAAATAGCTCGATAGATAGCACAGATAGAATCGTAGATACTTACGGGTGCCCACTAAAAAATCTGCCAAACCAAAAACACACATATTTACTAACCTACAATTCCTCCCTTACAAACAAACCCAAACAGCTAATTATAAAAATAATTGCCATAATTGCTGTGCTTCATGATCAAAAAAAAAAAACATTTAGTGATAGTTTCAAGTGATAGTTTCAAACCTACGGTTTTTGATTTTTAATCATAACAAAATAAGAACATACTCCTTAAAAACTGGTTTTGCATTCAAATTCACATTTTTGCCTATTTTTCCCAATTATTAAGAAAATTACTGGGAATTTTTACTTTTGACCCACTTGAACTACCTACTTGGTTCCCTTTCCTACAATAAAGATATTGAAGTTTAAAAATTAAAATCAACAATATTTTTTGTTTAGGTACTTTAAAGTAGTGTTTAGGACACTATATTATTTACCTTTTCAGTATAGTTTTTAAAAAAATCATTATTTTCAATCTACCTAATAATTAGAGGTGTTCAATACCAATATTTTTTAATCGAATACAAAAAAATTTCACTGAAGCTGATTACAAAATGGTTCCCCACTTATAACAAATCCGATTACAATAAACTTTGTATTATTTATTTAAAGTTTAAACCAACATAATACACATTTTTATAGTCAAATTAATATTTTATTTTATATTTGATTAGAAGGAGCATTTTTTTTGTACTTTATAACATTATATATTTTGATTCTAGTATACTTTGGAGGACCTATGGTCTTCAACTCTGGGGCAATGCCAAAAAATCCAACACTAATAAAATTCAAATCTTCCAAAATGACATCCTTTGTAAAATCACAAATTCTCCTCCTTATATTTCAAACCTAACTTAACACACCGATCTAAAAATTAAAACAGTCCACGAAGAAGCAGTAACCTTTTACAAACGTTTCCACTCGAAACTACCTTGTCATTCCAACCTCCTCATTTCAAACCTTGCCACTTTCACAATTCCTAGGAACCCTACCAGGAAGCTCAGAAGGAAATAGTGTAGAGATCTTCTCAATGAGTAATTAAAGTAGATAAAAAAAAAAAAAATTTACCAAGTAAGGGTAGTGTAACCACTGGGGGACTCCTCCCATCACGTTTTCATGTAATTATTCTTTCTAATATCACATATTCTTATTGTCCCTAAAGGAACAGGTTGTATATACCTTGTATAAAAATAAAAAAAGTATACTTTTAAATATTATGTAATATACAGTTATATTTGTGTTTAAATAATAGTATATTTTTTTCTAATGAACAGTAAATTGTAGTATTTATCAGTAATTACATTATAATGTTATATACTACTTAACACTACCTTATTATAATATGTTATTTTATACTTTTACTGTCATTAATTAATATTGTATAACAAGTAACTGCTTCATTAAAAGATCTTTTGAAAGATCTAAGTCTTATAATTCTTTTATTGGGTGTCGATTTCAATAAAAGAACATAAATTAAACTTTTATTGTTTATAATTTATAAATCAAATAACAATTTTTTTTTATACATATTTCCTATTTACATATTATTATTATACCTAGTACCTTGGTGTATGACACTGACCCATGTTGTATTAGCATTGTTTATTCTCTCAAGGCATAAATAATTTAAAAAAGGGATATTTTATATTTGTTTTTTTATTATAAAATAATACTTTTTACTTTTTAGTTTTTAACCAATTTTATAAATTTAAATATAAAAAGTTAAAAAAATTAATTTAACTAACATTAAACATTATTAAAGTACATTTAAAGATATAATTAAAGCAAATCATGAATATACTTTTATAATATGCTGGATTTTTAATAGTATATATTTAAAATCCAGTTTTTAAACATACTAATAACTTTTATTGTTTAATGTATTTAGTCCTTAGGATGTTTGCTGTATGCAATGCTTTATAAAAAGTCACCGTTTGACTTGGTATATGAACGTGGAGATTCTGTGGCTCTGGCTGTGATAAGTGGAAAAATTTATTTTCCACCAAATTCTAATGAAGTAATAATTTTTATAGAAAACATTTAAAAATCTTTCTCTAAATTATAATATTTTAAAATATTATAAATGTTTTTTTTTTTAGAGTGTCAACAGTTTAGTTAAGGTAATGCTAACAGTAGATCATTCCAAAAGACCATTTATTGATGATATATTAGAATCGGTCAAAGTTGTTGATGAATTATTTGATCAGGATTTCAATGAACATACAATTTTAAAATCAAATATTTGTAACGTTTAGAAATTATAGTTAATACATACACTTAATATCATAATAAAATAAATTGTTTATACAGTAGTCCAGCGGTTCTTAAATTTTTGTTAAACCCAGACCCCCTACCAATTTTCTTTCGATTGCTTTTTTTTTTACAAGATACCTATCTCATGTTATTATGATTAATATTTTAATAATTATTTTATATTAAAAATCACATAAAAAACTAAAAAAAACACATTTATAATTATTTTTATTGCACATACTTTTTTATAAAAAATGTATGTTTTATTTTTAGAGAGATTTGCCAAGGACTACAGTTTAAGAACCACTGGCGTAGTCTGTTAGTGTTAGTAATATAATTTATATTTCAATAGACATTTAGCTAAAACAAAGTTTTTTAACCAAATAAATTTTATTTTAATACATTTGTACTTATTTTGAAAATATAATTCAATATTCCTTTATTCATTCAAAATTTTAAATACAAAAAAATTAACTAAAAATAATTTTGATAGAATTTTTATTTATTTCGAATAAAATATGTATTTATTTTTTAAGATTTAGAACTCTAAATTGTTAATACATGATTCTATCATATTCTTTAATAATTTTTATAAAATTTCAAATAACTTTTTCTAAACAGTATAATAAATAATAAATACTTTAACTTTATGTTGAATTCAATACTCAATATTTATACATACTTTTAAATTTGAACAAATATTATAAGATTTTTTTCTATTAATTGATGCCTTTTTTTGGTCAAAGTTGTATCAATTATTTTTCAATATTAAGTGGAGATAAATATAATTATTTAATGAAACTGTAATATATAAAAAATATTATCTAAAATTTGTCAGCTCTAACTTTAAATTAAGAATTATGAGTCTACAGTTGTGTACAACATTCGGTCATCTATAAAACCCCCCTCTACTCTAGGTTGAAAAAAAAAATTATGTATTTCCTGCACACGTGATACTACAATAGTTGCTTATGAATTACTTATAATAGTTTTCTACAAGACAATAACGGATTGTAATTAGCATACTGTTTTAAATACGAATTAAATGTTACACGTCACATTAAGCATACCGTATTTCTACCACAGTGCTACGCGTTGTTAACCAGATTTCATTAGAAACGACTTGATAATAATATGGTCTTTTACGACGTGTTTTTTTTTAATGAAATAGGCTACTAGTTTACCACTATTTGCCTTATTCACCTTTGACGGACGTTTGTTGAACTAATAAATGTTCAATATACCTAATGCGTAATGATATATTATGACGTGTCGTTTATGTTTAGCAACGCGTAGGTTATATAATAAATGGGCTACGGCCTCAATAATTATGACAATACATTATTGTTTTTATTGTAAAATTTATGATTGTTAATAAGAAAAATATAAATTCCTAAAAATACATTTCCCGATAAACATTGTGATTCTAATATTCTATATTAGATTATTAGCATATTATACTATTTGCCAATACTAAACTGACAACTTACTGTTAATACAACTATGTACCTAATCGTCAAGATAAAATCTATAATCGTGATTGAAAATAATAATTTTCAAAGCAGGCCATTTACAAGTTAATGTCACAGTAGCTCAATAAATTCCTGCTATATTTGTTACTATTAGATAAACATTATTTATTCGATTTTAAAGTCATGATAATATAATAATTTAATTAAATAAAAATAATTCCTATGTTGCTGATATGGACCTATTAATATTGACGCCATAAAAAATTACTCAAATTAGGAAAGAATAATGGGTAATAAATTATCGGCTATTATGCTCGACGTATCACGTATGGGTTATGGGTATACCATAACTTATGGTATATTGGTATAACGTATTTAACATTTTAATTATTTGATTTCATAGTATGAGTCGGCCTGCGAAGTGCGAAAGTGTGAAAGAAAAAAGTAAAAACCCGCCTGAAAAACGATTCCTCTGCCCGATTGCAGTGTGTCCTGGGTCGGCGCCACGTTGCCGGCACTGTCAGCTGTCCGCCGTGATAACAACCACTGTGGCCAATTTACCTGCCACATTTCCCGTTGCGGTGGCGTGAGTTGTCGGGTTCTCCTGTCAACCAGTTCCGGGCAATGTGTTAACCGACTGCTTAAGCCACCATCGCTCGTTCGTGTTCCACACTTTTTAACTTTTATCGAATACCGAAAATTAACTATCGCTCCCGTACGGGTTATTCTTCCCATACGTTGACATCGAGTAATAATAATAATAGTTATAATATACATCAGTGGTCAGTCGTTTCCTCGTTTTTGAATCGCTGTCTCCAATTTATCCCAAGAACAAATTTAATTTAGAAGACATTCGTTTCGCTTTAAACTGCCGGCGCCGACGTCAGACCAAACACGTTAATATTATATTACTGTAATTACAGTGTTGTAGCACGCCCGCATCAAGGCGGTACGAATAAATCTCGCTCACGTCGAAATACTCAACTACAGTTATTATTGTTCGCAATGTAAGCATTTTATTTCGTTATATACATATTATTATAACATATTTTATAATATATAATATTATTACATTATTATTGTTACTTCTTTCGATTGTTATTCTATATAATATAATACCCATTTTGTATTATGCTGGTATTGTTCGCGTCGTTATTATTATTATCGACGTATGAATGATAATTTTAGTTTTATTACTACCGACATACGACGACGATTTGTTCAATTTGTTGTATTTTAATTTATAATGTGTGTGGACGTCTTGATTTACTCTAGTATTTGGATGTCTTGACCTTAATTTGGTGGTTGCTTTCCCTATCTGGAGTATAATCCAATGCATTCATAATAATTTTGTATGATTGTAAAACGAATAAAAATAATGTATCAGCTTATTGTGGTATATATTAAGGCTAACTGTACAATTTTGATTGAAACACTAAGTCATTGAATAATGATTAATTATTACGGTGTTGAGATTAATGAAAAATATGATCACATCGAAGAGATCTTTTGCACACAGTTGTGTTGTATTTTATACTATGTATTATTCATAGACCGATGTTTATAGTTTGCTTTCATTTAAAACTAGTTAGATGAATAAAATTAAGATACAGGTAGTGATTAAGAGGTGTCAGTTGTTTGAATACCTAATGTTTTCAAATGTACTAAGCTTTGTACAATCTTAATAATAAAATAATGATCTGATGATTAGATAACGATTAAGATGTTTTTACAGGCATTACACGTATCTGTCAAAGTGTCAACTAAAGTATTAAATCAAGGAATATACCTATGTTATTTGTATTTGAGAGGTTTTTTTTTCAACATCAGATAAGTTTAAAACAAAATTACATTATTTTTGTCATTTTTTTACATAGACCAATAATTATTAAGAAATCAATACATTTAAGCCGTAGAACCATAATATTTTTGAGCAAAACAACATAATATACAAGTTCTATTAACTTTTAGATATTTAATTATGTAGGTATACGATGTTACTGGCTATAACTAAGTCAAATATGTAAAATTATAAAAGTCGACAATTTTCTAAAAATAATCTTTGGTCAGAAATAGACGCAATAGTGTGTGTGCTGTACCTCAAATCTCAATGGCTCAAAATGTGCACAATACAATGCACTTAATAAGGACCATACACAATTGTATTGCACCCCTTTTATTGTATTACCAAAAACTTAATAGGTATATACACGTATATACACTAATACAGTAGTTGTGTAAAACTATTTTTAGGTAGTCGGGTATTAAATTATAACATTTATAATCAAGGATAAGGGAAGTAATGAGGATAGATAATCATTGGTAAAGAGTGATAATAAGTAAAAACTATAATGATAACACATCATTACCAGCTGCAATTTGGATCAATAATACCTATGATTATTTTAAATATTTTATATTTAGATAGGTACCAATAATTAAATATTAATAAACATGATAAATGATAATAACTTGCCTAATATTAGTATATTAATAATTTGGTGTCACAATATATATACCGAAAGAATATTTTGTGGGTTTAGAATTTTAGACACTTGGATATTTAAACTAAAAATATGATCGAAATATTAGATACATACTTAAAACTTAACACTCAGTCTCAAACATTTATCACTTCAAAATTTAGAAAATTTAAATATTGCATTTATTTTAGATCCTTAGGTCCGCTAACAAAATATGCACTTTTAATACAATTAGATTAGGTAGTATATGTTCTTCAATTTGTACTGAACTTTTTTTATAACTTATTTTTAAATAATAATGATAACTTATAATAGTCAATAGGTAATTAATGAAGTAATTAACAACGATTAATATTTGGCTATCTAATAAAAATAAACCCTTCAACATTTAATAATTGTGAATTCAATATTGATATTTCACCATACATATTCATTAGATCTTAAAGTACCTACCTAATGAACTTTTTATCTAGACACATAATAAGTTAGGTATATCTTACAATTTATTTTAAAATTGTACTTATCCAATAATACATTTACTTGTTATTATTTGTTCATACCAATTGTTTTACTTATCTTAACACTTTGTGTATACTGGGGTGATTACCTACTTCATGCTTGTCTTGGATATATTAATCAGCAACTCAAGTTCAAATTAATTTTTAATCGAGTAATAGGTAGGTACTATACCTAATATAGGATGAGTTTCAAATAAAATCTTTTTTTACGAGGGTGATTTGTCATGTTATTATTTATGGCTTTGAAAGATGTAAAGTACTGTAATATACAATACAGTATAATATTACAATATTTACATTATTTTTCAAATTTGCAAATGAAATATACTATATTACCTCGCATGTTATCAGGTCTAGGATTTTGCATTTTTTTTTTTACAATCTCTAGGACAGCATTTTAAATACAAAATCTGATTCAAACATCAGGTATTTAAAAATAGTAAATTGTATGTTGTATTTTTTTGATAGTGATAAGTGAATTTTATTAATTTATATAGCATTTTTTGAAGTTAAATCTTAAATCTTATTA